GTGGTGATGGTGGTGGTAGCAGTAGAGGAGACGATGGCAGTTGGAGGACAGTGGGTGTGGTGGTGATCATAATGCTGACAGTGATGCTGATAAGGGTCATGGTCTGTGCTTTATGGTAGAGGGTAACAATATAATCTTTGCATTCAAAATAATTTTTCTTAAGGAATAGGATACCTCTTGAAGAAAAAGGACTTTGCTCCTATTTCAAGTCAGACCTCCATAAAACTCTTTATCTGAATTCCTGTCCAAATTTGCGTATCACAGACTAGAGGTTGCACAGTGAAAATTCTATTTGTGAGGCACTGATTGCCTGCTGGTGCCCAGATCACTTTCTTGACTTCGGGATGAGGTGTCCTGACCATTCTCTCTCCTAAAAGACAAATCTTGCTTGCTGTGGACCCCGATCCAGCTCACCTCCATACCTCTAGACGATGGTGACTTCCCTCCTTAAACTTTACCCATTCATCTTGGCTCATATATTGCTTTAATTATTATTTATTTAACCTTTGTGTATGTTTGACCTCCCCAATCGGATTGTAAGCTCCTTGAAGGTAGGGTGCATGCCTTGTCCTTCTTAAATCCCATACCCTTTAAACAAATATGTATGTATGAAACAAATGAATGAATGGACTTGTGAGTGGTCTACAGTGTTATTATTGTCTCCAAAAGTAGGCAGAATAATGGTTTACACAATAATCATAACATTTGGGGTTTTTTGGGTACCAATTCTTTTTTTTTCCCCCTTCGAGAAAAAGAATGAAAGAGAAAGAAAGAGGAAGAGAAAGAGGGAGAGAGAACGGGAATCTTGCTCTATTGCCCAGGCTAGAATGCAGTCTAAAAATGGGCATTAAAAACCTCTTTTATGCCAATAATTGTGCCTAACAATGGAGACAGGAAGGAATAAGGGAGGAAAATAACAAGCAGCCAACCAGTATTTCATTTAAACCTGTGAAATGCTGTGCAATTACTGAGGAGTGATTTACTTCCAATTATGTAGTCACTTTTAGAGTAGGTGTGATATGGTACTGAGAAGACAGTATGTCTTGTGGATTTGGGGTGGACAGTTCTGTAAATGCTTATTAAGTTTACTTGTTCCAGGTCTGAGTTCAAGTCCTGGATATCCTTGTTAATTTTCCGTCTCGTTGATCTGTCTAATATTGACAATGTGATGTTAAAGTCTCCCACTATTATTGTGTGGGAGTCTAAGTCTCTTTGTAAATCATTAAGAACTTGCCTCATGTATCTGGGTACTGCTGTATTGGGTGCATATATATTTAGGATCGTTAGCTCTTCTTGTTGCATTGATCCTTTTAATAATCATAACATTAATTTGAGCATAAAGATCTTCTTATGACTTGCAAGAAAGAGGGAATTTTGTTACTGCTACTGCTACAATAGCTAGCATTTATCAAGCTCTGCACCAGGCTCTGTGCTCAGCCCTTCACACATATTATCTTCACTGATTTTGACAACAAGCCTGTGAAGTGGGTACTATTTCCCCATTTTACAGATGGAAAACCTAGGATCAGAGATTTTGAATAATTTGCATTATTTGGTTAAAAACACTTGATTTCTATTCAGACAGACATGAGTTCAAACAATTCGCATTTGTCAGTTGCATGGCTTCTATGGTACCAATTTTTGTCCTGGGACCTGAGATTCCTCATCTAAAAAGTGAGAAAATAATACTTAATTGTACAAAGGAGGAGTCAGTAAGGAAAACCTCTTTCTCTTTTACAGATATATACATAATAAAATTACAAATTATAACTCATGAGTATAATGTTATTAGACATATCACATACACATATACATATATCTTTGCTCAGTGTGCAAGATAAAGTAAGTGCTATGTCAATAGTAGCTCTTTTTCTATTTTTTTGCTCGAGGTCTCCAAGCTTTTAAGCAATGAAAATACATTCATTTATAGATCTGGTGTAGAGCCCATGTTCTCACACACTTTAGATTCAGCCCCAGAAACAAGCTATTTCCCTGGGCACAGTGGGTGAGTCACAGAGCATCTTCTCTAGGAGTGAGGATGCCACATGACCAAACCAGGCAGGCTGGGCTGGCTGTCCGTCTCAGTGGTCTACCCCCAGGCCAGGGCTCAATGTCTTGCTTAGCAATCTGCCTGCACATGGCCTGATGGCTGTAGCCTGGGATGCCACCAATATCATTTATGATGCCAGAGGTGCTGTCTATGGGAACAAAGCCCCTCCCAACACATCCTAGTGGTTAGGGTAGCATCTGCCAGCAGTGTGATGGTTCAAGTCTCCCTAACTGACCAGCAGCCCATGCATGGTGGCTCTGGGGGGCACATTTCTCTTCTGCTGTTCTACCCAAGTGTTAAAAATTCATTTAACTCTGATCGCACTGACGGGAAAAGTTAATAGAAGTTTTATTTTTAATATATGGGGAACCTTAACAGGATTTAAGCTTAATGCCTCAGAAATAGGAAGGACCACTGACGATTTATCTACCCAAATCTGCAGACTTTAGAGGGGAGCTAAAGAAATGGAAGACGTATTATTCCAGCAGCTAGAGGCAGGATTGAAATGCCCCCAACAGCAATTGGGAGAAATGCCAACAGTCTGCCAACCTCAGAAATTGACTCATAAATTGTCCAAATCCTCAGTTTCCCCTTATTGCCCTGACCTTCAGTTTTCTTGACTATCCAGAAAATATATCATTTCAATTTTTTAAAGACACAATAGAGCTTGTCACTTAGAATCATAGAATTTTAGAGCTGATTTCTTCCAGCTATAATAATTTATGATACTAAGAGACGTGGAGGGAAACTTTATAACAGAAAATTGTGCTGCACATGGGCCATACATTTTGTTTTAGACATGGCTCTAGGCTGTTTTCAAAAGCTACTAACCTAAAAAAATCTCTCATGCAAAACATTCTTCAGTACACTTAGGCTGAACTGCCTGAACTGTTCATTCTGAGACGGTATTTCACTAAGGAGGCCAGTCAACTACTTCTACTTAGGAGATGTATTACGCACCGACTGAGTGCCAGGCATTGTTGCAGACGTGCAGGGATGCAGCCACAAAGAAAACAGTCGAACATCTTTGCCTTTAAGGAACTTGCATTGTAGTGAGGGGACACAAAAATATTGACAAAATAAATAGTTACATACAAAATAAATAGTGTTAGAAGGTGATGCGTGCCATAAGAAAAACAAAACAAGGAAGAAGTGGAGGCTATGGAAAGAGTCCACTTTAAATAGTCTGACCAGGAAGGCCCTTCGCTCAAACAACATTGAGTAAAGACTTGAGGGAGGTGAGGGAGCAAGTCTGTGACCCTCCGAAGCAAGAGCACTCCAGATAGAGGGACCTGGAGGGACCAGGGACTTGCCTGGCATATTCGGGAATCATCAGGAAAGCTAGTGTGGCTGGACTGGGGTGAGCACAGGTGAGCTGGTGGGCCCAGGGAAGACGCAATCAGGCAGGTACAACAAGCCTTAGAGCTGCCACGTAGGACAGATGACCACACATCTTGATTGCCCAGGACAATCCTGAATTAGTTCTGTTCTGTTGTCCTGGAAGAATTATTAATAGTGCCCCTGTTCGGTTGATAAATTATATGGTCCCTCCGCATGCAGGTCACCAGCAGGGCTTTGGCGTTTACTCTGAGCAAGATGGAAACCACGGGAGTTGGAACACTGACAGTGACAGGACCTAACTCTCATCCTCAAGGATCTACTCTGGTTGCCCTGTTCAGGAAGGCCTGACAAGGAGCCCAGGTAGGAGTAGGGGAGCTATCTCCAAGACCTTTGCCAGACTCACGTCATTGCCTCTCTCCCTCAAATGTCTCCCATTTTGTCTGCTGGTAAACTCCAAACAATCCTGGTGGCTTCTCAGGGTCTCATTTAACTGTCTCCTCCTTCTGAAGTCTTCCTTGACCCAGTCCCACAGTCCCAAATCCTCACAAAATTAGAGTGCCTTGACTGATGTGTTTTGCATTTGGTTGTCAAATCTGTTCTGTTTACACATTGTATTTAGTTATTACCAGCATGCCTGTCCCTACTGCTAGACAGTGAGGATCTTTCTTTTGAAAGGGGAAATTCCTGTTTTATTGAGGCCCTATAATAAGTTAGATGCTTTGTAAGGTTTTCATTTTTCATTTAAAATGCACATTAATTATAAGGAATATTGTTTTGGCCTTGTTCGATTATCAGTATAACACAACACCCCAAAATTTAGTGGCATAAAATAACGGTCATTCTCTCATGCCCACGGATTCCATGGGTGAGGAGCTGGAACAACGCAGAGCAGATGTAACTAGCTGGTCTCTGGGTGGTAGAATGGCTGGAGGCTCGGGTCTCGGGGGGACTGGAGGATGTGTTTCCAGGATGGCTTCTTCATGCACATGTCTTGCCCCACTGCTGGCATAACTCACAGGCTGGGATTATCAGCATGAGTGTGACCTCTCCAGCGTGGTGGCTCAGTATTCCTGAGAACAAGGAAGAAGCTTCATGGTCTCCATGATGCAGCCTTAGAAGACACATAACATCACCTCCTCCATCCTCTATTGGTTGAAGCAATCGCAAGCTGCTCAGATTCAAGAGGAGGGGATGTAGACCCCACCCATCAATGTGAGGAGCAGAAAAGAACGTGTGGCCATACTTAAATCTGTCCCTGTTCCCACCTTGCAGATGAAGAAACCAAGGCTCAGAGAGTGTAGGATACTTGTTAAAAATCAGGCAGCTAAAATACAGTGGAACCAGGCCGGGCACAGTGGCTCATGCCTGTAATCCCAGCAATGTGGGAGGCCAACGTATGTGGATCACCTGATGTCAGCAGTTTGGGACCAGCCTGGCCAGCATGGTGAAACCCCATCTCTACTAAAAATACAAAAATTAGCCAGGCATGGTGTTGTATGCCTGTAGTCCCAGCTACTTGAGAGGCTGAGGCAGGAGAATTGCTTGAACCCAGGAGACGGAGGTTGTAGTGAGCTGAGATTGCGTCATTGCACTCCAGCCTGAGCAACAGAGTGAGACTTTGTCTCAATCAATCAATCAATCAATCAATCAGATGCAATGAAACCAATACTGAGAGGGCTCTGCTGGACTGCAGACCACATGCTCTTTTTATCTCGTCTGAAGACCTGTTGTGGGGAAGAGAGAATGTCTTAGTTCTACCACTCTATGTTTGGCACAGAGTTTGGCACACTGTGAATGAATGGATGAACGAATGCAGCATGGTCAGCAGCTCTGGAGCATGCTCTGACCTCTGCCTGTAATCTGAATGAATGATTCTAACAATGAGAATTTCACACACTGCAGCAAGAAGCACGGAAGACATTTAGGAGGATGGGGAGATGTTTTGGATACAGCTCTATCTACTAAAACCCTTTTAACCACCCCAAGAGACAGACAACTAGACCAGCCTCAACTGACAGACAACTAGACCCATTTAGAAGATGAAGAAACTGAGCAACTATTGAGTAGCTGCAACAACACTAGGCCTAAGCACATCTTCCTTTCCCTGTGAGGATACCAGGGCCCATCTCTGGAAAAAAACTCACCCTGTCCACTCCTTTCTCAGCACCTGGTCGACCTTTTTAGAAAAGTGAAATATGGCTAAAATGAACATACTTCACCCTTGATTTAAAAAAAAACAAAAAGAGCTGGGCACAGAGGCACATGCCTATAACGCCTGTACTTTAAGAGGCCAAGGCAGGAGGCTCACTTGAAGCCAGAAATTCAAGACCAGCCTCAGCAACAAAGCGAGATATAGTGTCTAAACAGTATTTTAAAAATCAGCTGGGTGTGATGATCCATGCCTGTAGTCCCAGCTACTTGGGAGGCTGAGGTAGGAGGATCACTTGAGTCCGGGAGCCCAGAAGTTCGAGGCTGTGGTAAGCTATAGTCATGCCACAGCACTCCAGCCTAGATGACAGACAGACTCTGTCTCTGAAAAATAATAATAATACAATAATAAATAAATAATGTTTAAAAACCAAAAACTGCAAGTTAGCGTGTCAGGCTCTGTCTTCCCAGAGAGCTCAGAGATGACAGGTGAGACCTGGCTGGGTACAACCAGAGCAATTCTTTATAGAAGTACATCCAAGTCACTGAACCATGTAACATATAAGGAGAGAACCCATTAGTCTGTGTCCAACGTTCAAAATGCTAAGTCATTTTTCAGGCTTGGCTTGATTTCTCTTTCATCAATAAGAGCTACAGTCCTGCCAAGCTGGGAGCAGATAGCCCTACCTGCTGCTGAGATAGGCGGCAGAGGGAATCCATAAGGGGCTGAGGGAACACCAGCCGCTGGGCTATGTTCAGCAGGTTCCGCATGTCTGCTCCTCTGGGATGGTGTGTCCAAAAGCATCTCCCCCATCCTAGTGCCACAGTGACAAGATCCCCCACTGGAGAAATGTAACTGAGGCTTCTCCTGTGAGAAGCCACTTGGCATGGCAGAGCAGCAGACGGGAGGCCGGGCAGCCTGGCTTCTAGATCACCCCTCTTACCAACTAAGTGCCTTGAGCAGGCTGTAAATCTCTTTGGGCCTCAGTTTCCTCAAGTGCAAAGGCAGACAATCAGGCCAGATAATCTATAAGGCCCTTTTAGCTTGGAAATTCTGAGCTCTTGAGCTCTCTGGTCAGATGAAACAAAAGGTTGCAATGAGAGAAGAGAATCACAAACTACCTTCATCACCTTCACAGTTTGCCTTCCACCAGCTTGTAATGGGGTTGTATAATCCAGACTTCCAGGAAAGGGTGAATGTATCTGTATGGGAAAAAAAGAACAAGGGAGGAAATTACTTCCCTTCCCCTAAAATGAGCAGTTAACAACCTGTGGGATGCCACAGATACATGGAAGCAATTTAACTGTGCTTTCAGACCCCCATGCTGCAGATGGTTTCTCAGGACCCCCTAGATGTTTATGGGCCCTTGTAGGAAGAGCCACTACCCCTAATAGCTGTGTCCCACACAACCCACCTGATCAAGGTCCATGTTTCTATGAAGGAAGATTTCATTCATTCATTCATTGAACAATGTGCTGTGCACTTACTTTGTGCCAGGCATTCTAGCTACAGAGATAAAAGGTACAGTCCGTGTTCTCCCAGAGCTCACTGTCCAGAAGACAAGTAAACAGGGTGAAAGGCCTGTTTACATAACACTGATACATGTTCTGAGCTATGAGCTGTCTCATAAGCCACTTTGGGAGCCCAGAGCAGAGAACTTAACCCAGCATTGGGAGAGGTCCTCAGCTATCAGGGAGATCTCCCTAGAGAAGGTGGTCCCTGAGCTAGGTCTTAGAGGATTCTACCTAAATATCTCCATTTTTCTCATTGCTAAAGTTAAACTCAGCTCACAGTTGCAAGGGACTAGGGCTTGAAGAGAGGAGTGAGGACCTGATGGGAAAGGAACAGAGGGAGTGACTGTGAAGCCCCACTTGGGCCCTGCTGAATCCAGAGGACATGAAACTTTTATGGCCCCAAATGACAAGATTGGAAACAGTTTTCTCTCCATGGTCCCAGGTAAGGAAGAGGGTCCATTGATAGAGTGTTGGGACTTTTCCAAAAGATGCAGTAAATGCACAAGAGTGAGGGAGCTGACCCTCCTCCAGGAGAGTAGTTTGAGTCACAGGCCCAGGATCTAAAGCCAGATGAGAGAAGGAAGGGAAGCCAGGCACAGGTGGACTAAGGGAGAAAATAGGCACGGTGGGACAGTGAGCCCGCACTGCAGGATAAGCAGGTGTCGAAAGCAAAGCATGACTGAACTGAAGGTGGCTGAGAGGGTGCATGTGGAGTCCGTCTGTGATCAGACAGAAAAACTGAGACTTCTGAGTTACAAGGAAGGAAGCCTTGGGGAGGGAGGCTCAAATCTCAAATGAAAAGTGGCAGGATTTTCCCAGCCGTCTTAACTCAGAGGCCTCTCCTCTCTCTTGTGAGAGTAGGAGAAAGAGAATCTCTCCAAAAATCCAGCCCAGTTCAGTTGAGGCCCAAGATGCTAACCACCCCATGAGATCCCCATGCTGCTTTTGACCTGTTGGTAGAGTCTTGGCATTTCCTGGTAGCTTCATCTTTCTTGTTTCCCCCCCCCCACCCCCCCGACCTTAATCTTGACTAATGCCTTTTCAGAGACAGATGGCAGCCATTAGTATCTAGTCTTCAGGGCTATTCATTTAGCAACTGACCCAGTACTTGCACAAACTGACTCCTAACAGGCCTGCAGAACCACTGAATATATTCAAGAATCTAGCATGTGCAGAGGAAAAAGAAAAAGAGGAAGAAAAGGGAGAGGAGTGAAGGCCCTTAAGACATCCTGTGGGACTAGCCCACCCTTGAGATACTCAGGGCCTGTGGTACCCTGGGAATTTCTGTGGGCATGTGTGTGTTTATGCCTATGTTCGTGCACATACATGCGTCTGGTGTGTGCACATGCATGCACGTGTGTTTGTGTATGTGAGAGCAAAGGAGAAGCAGAGCGCCCTGGGAAAGATGGATTTTACCAGCTGGTTCTATGGAGGTCTGCAGATGTCATCTAATCAGGCTGCTTGGGCAGATGGCAATTTCCATATAGTGTTTCCTTCCACTCCAAGTGGTTTGTACCATTGTGGATAAGACATTCAGGATCTTTGTCAAACCTCTCATAATCTGTTACCACGTAAATGTGTCAGCAGGTGGCAATACTGGTAGGCTGATACTTGGGTCAGATGCCAGGACCTACAGAAAAATAATCCTCTTAGATTGGAGCCAGGTCTTCCCTGACTCAAGGAAGGACCAAAGTATGCCCAGGCAGCTTGAGCACTGACTAGCCCCCTCTCCGGGGTTGGTGCAGTATCACGCCAGGCTGCTTTCTTGGCAGGGAGGGAAGCAGAACAGCTCAGAGCCACGCCCACTCCCTCTCTGTGCCCCCCTGGCTGCCTCTGGATTAGAAACGGCCACAGGCGAAGTCCTAACCACAGGTTTGCTGGTGGACCTCTAGGGGTCACCAAAGTAACGATCAGAAGACTTGAACCTGGAAACACTGCGTCTCACCTGGGAGGCTGTATGGTTGATCAGCTTCCTCCAGTAGCTTCTAGTTGCTTCCACTGCTCCAAAGCTGAGCCAGCACGCCTGGGTTTCCATGTGCTACATATGAGCATTCACCTTGGCCTGGTCTGAGGTGGATAGAGGAGCACAGAGAGCTACTGACCACCAGACTTAGAGTTACAAAATCCCTGAAGGTGCAGGGTGCCGTGGCTCACGCCTATAATCCCAGCACTTTGGGAGGCCAAGGTGGGCAAATTACGAGGTCAGGAGACCCAGACCATCCTGGCTAACATGTATCTACTAAAAATACAAAAAATTAGCCAGGCGTGGTAGCGTGCACCTGTAGTCCTGGCTACTAGGGAGACTGAGGCAGGAGAATCACTTGAACCTGGGAGGCGGAGGTTGCAGTGAGCCGAGATTGCACCACAGCACTCCAGCCTGGGTGACAGAGTAAGATTCTGTCTCGAAAATAAATAAATAAATTAATTAATTTAAAAAAATTAAATTTTAAAAATCCCTGAAGGCTCCTTAGAGCAGGATGTGGGAGGTAAGATAAGGCTCCCTACAACGGCTCAGGGGCTCACCTAATTCAGAGAAGCCGAGTTTGAGGAGAAGGTCACTGGGTGCTCCCATGGCTTCCAAAACCACCTCTGTTCACGGGCAGGGACAGTGAATCCAGGAGTCTATTTTCCTTTCCCAGTGGAAAGCAATGAGCAGCGTGATGGTGGAAGTAATAACAATAACAGGCAACATTTACTGAGCCCTTTCTACATGCCAAGCAGTGTGTTAAAGGTTTCTCATGGATTATCTCATCAAATCCTCATAACAATCTGAAGACATGGGTACATAATTGGTCCCATATTACATATGCCGGAATGAAATTTGGTGATATTAACTGAGGAATTTTCCATTGTTGAGCTCCACACATCTCCCTGACCACACGGAGCCAAGGCCTTCATTGCCTCAGAAGCAACTCTTTGCCTACAAATACAAAGAATACAAAATCAAGAATAGAAAGCAACTAACAAAAAAAAAAAAAAGAGAGACAACACAGAAATCATGTTTCCAAATAGGCATTGTAAAAGGCACAGCAGAGGCAACAGTCTTGAGGTCCCCATGCTTCTGATTCACAAAAGGACCAAGACTTTTTAATTTGCTGTTACATAGAGAAAATGTAAGTTCTAAAAGTTTGACTTTATTAAGTCAAAAGCAGAAGAGACTGAATGATAAACATGCCAGCCATAAACAAGGGCTGGGAAGAAGGCAGAAAAATGAATGATGTAAGAACCACGCCTTTCCCTCCTTCCCCCTGCCCACCCTCCAAAAAAGAGCAGGAATAAAACCGGAGAAGGAAGAGTGGAGAGAAGGAGAAATGAAAACCTTCAGAGAAGCAGGAGGAAGACCAAGAAAGAAGAAGAACAAATTCACTGCTGGTGTGGGGCACAGGGAAGGGACCAGGCCTCTCTCCTCCCCACCCCCTCAGCACCCACTCCTCCCCCGGCTCCATACCACCATTACTTACAGAAGATAGAAACCCAAGTGAAGAGGGAGAGATCCCAGATGAAGAGTGCTGGGCTCGTGTCCCAGGGGGCAGCATGGGATGGTTTTGAGCGTCTGGAACAGTAACACACATGAATATGCATACACACAAGCACGTGCATATAACATACCACACATATACATAAACATAACACATGCCCACACTCATGAATACTCATACACACACACATGCCCATACATATAACATGCACACAACACACATACATGCATGCCCATATAAATACACACACACACACACACACACACACGCACATACACATGAACACACATATACACAACAAAGTCCAAGGTAGCCACACCCTGAGGGCCTCATAGGGTGGATGGTCCTGTAGGCTGCCTAAGGCCATTATTTCTCTCCTTTTCTCAGTTCACCATGACTTACAGTTCCCTTGCTCTGAGCACCAAGAATGAGATTTTTTTTTTTTGCATTTTTTTCATTATACAAATAATTTGGGTTTATTGTAAAATAGTTGGAAAATGTCAATAACAAAAGGATTAAAATATCACCATCCAGAGATGGCTACTATTAATAATTTGTGTGTCTGTACATATCTGTCTATCAATCTATACATATGAGTTGTATTTTCACAGCAATATAGCTTCCATATGGTTTTTAAATCAGACAGAAAAGTATGAGAGCCATAAATTAGACTATGTCACCCATAACTACAAGGCAGCCCTTATTTCAGAAATTTCTATTTGGTCCCAGAAAAATAAAATAAAGAAAAAATAATAGCCATTTTGTGGATGGAACAATGAATCCCTCAGAGGAAGACATGACAGAGCCAAGCTTCTGACCCAGGATTTGGTAGAGAGCCCAAACTCTGGTTCTGATACAGCAGCTCCCTGAGTACAAGCATCAGGACTTCAGTGGCTGAGCTGTCATTCTCTTGGCTGCATGCAAACCAAGAACTTTGTTTGTGTCAAAGTACGTGCAATGCCTTCTTGCAAAATGACCTAAATTAGAAACCCTCCTCTCAGTATCAGAAAATTCTGCCTTGAGGAGCAGGAGGGGTAAATCCATCCATAAAAAAAATGACAGCCACGATTCTTCAGACCTACATAGTTTGGGATCAATATCCAAATCACAGTCTTAGACAAGAGTGTGAAAAGATTTAAAAAGCCAGACACACAGGAACCATGTGTTTCCCATAATGGCCCAAATGAAATTATATAGTCCAGAACATTTTAAAAGCAAGCAGCTTATTTTGAACAGGGGCACAAAGAGGCTGCTGATGTGCACTGTGAAAACTCAATAAAGAGGAACATCTAATGAAAACAGATATAACGTACAACTGCAATCACAAGTAGTGCATGAATTATTAACCTCAGGGAGTTCTCTATCAGTTCTGGGGCTACGGATTGCATCTCTGGTATACAGTTTGGGAGATACTCGTTCTCCATTTCGTAAGAGAGAACTTGAAGCAGGAAATGCACTTATTTCTTCTTTAAATGCATACTGTAATTACCAGTCGGCAGTGACTAAATGTTATTGTCCATCTGTTGGCTGCTCCGGGACCCGTAATGAGTAAACCTTAGCAGGTTATGCCATTGTCTGTAGCATAGATGACTGCGGCTTGCGCACGCCTGTAAAGTCAACACTTTTTGTGTTGAATGTACTGTTGAAATTTTTCACAGAGAAACCAAGAAATGAAAAAAAAATCCTTGAACAGGTTTAACACTTCTGCTCAACATCGTCTGATGACTTCTTATTGCAGTCAGTATAGAATCTAAATTCCTGTGTTTGGCTTACAAGGCTTTAAATTATCTGGTCCAACTCTCTCCCCAGCTCTGTCTCAGGCTTCTTACTGTCTTAACTCTGCCATGTTGATCTTCAAACATCTTCCAAAGCATCAAATTCACTCCCCACTCAGGGCCTTCACACACGCTTTCCCCTCTCCCTGAGTCATTCCTTTCTCTGTCCCCATACTCTCTTCATGACTTTTTCTTGATCATTTCTTCAGGTCCCAGATTAAACATCATCTCCCCAGCAAGGCCCTGCGGTGGCCTCCAACAGCATCCTGTTGGTTCTCTCCAAGTTATCAATTACATTTTAGAGTTGTCTGGTTGTGTGGGTTTATAGGCTAGGCCTCTGTGTCTCCCATGGGACAGGACAGCAGAAACTCTGCCTGTATTATTTACCACTGTAATTCTAGCAGTAAGAATGCTACCCGCCTTTTTGAATGGATGAGTGAATGAACTATGGTATTTGTTATTTCTGGGATGTGGTGTGTGAAGGACAGGTCTGAGTCTTGACCTAACATATTTGTAGGAATCAGGGCCCAAAAAGTTCTGACTATAGACCAAGAAGTAAGGAACCCAGTGGTGGGCCAGCCACACTTCCTCTACCTGCCACACACCTGTTTGTGTGTGCACCTCTTTCTTTGCATGCCCCCAAATTCTGTTTAGTTGAGCCAAATCCTTAGACCATCTAAGGCCCCCATTGAGTCTCGCATATTCCTTTAAAGGGGTCTTAGATTGCTTGGTCAGGAAATCAAGAAGCTCTTTAAAACCCATCCTCATCTTGCAGGGGTCCTTCCTCTCCTGACCAGCACAGCCATAACTCACAATGTACCACTTTGCTATACTGTCTCTATCAGATGGCTTGGCTTTGTATGTTGGTTTTAATTTTCTGATCTGGTTATAAGTATTTTGATTGGAGTCTTTGATTATGGTTTAACTCAAAAGTTGGCTGGAGCCTCCCTGTTCCAAGAGATCTAGGTTTAATGGACACAGACCACCCCCCAAGTCCATGGCCAGATGAAGCCTAAAGCTCTCCTATAAACATGGTTTTATAAGCCCCTGTGGCTTAAGCATACATCAGTTAGAAATCCAGTCCTCTATCAGATTCCTCTGCAGATCCTACGCCCCAAAAAATCAACCCCTAACCAGAGCATCTGTAGGGACAGTAAAATTTCCTAAAGGTTTCCAAAGAAGGAAATCACTTCTCAAACTAAGGAGCAATCTCAGATTCTGTCTTTTTGCATTCCCTTTTCTTCTTCCTTCCTTGCTAATTCACCATCTTCTTTTCTCATAGACCCTCCCTCCTCTTTCTTCCCAGTCTTTCCTCTTTCTCAGAGCTAAGACAATTCTCCTTGGTTCTGGCAGAGAAATGTAGTGATCATCTATAGAAGCTGAAACACGTATTGGGGCTGTCTCACCTTCTACCCCAGACCCTTAGTAAAGCTATTTAAAAACTTCTTACCCCAGACTATAATCTTGCTTCAGTATCCCCCACAGTCACTACCACAGAGCTAAGCATATAGAAGATGATGATTAAACACTTGCTAAGCACTGACTGGAAAACCTGATTGAACTGGGACCCTGGGGTATAATCTAAGTATCACGAGCAGTTAGTAGAGATGGGGCGTTCCAGGCCAGGATTCATGCCTCTGATCTTCCTGCTGTGCAAGATAAGAGTGCCCTTCTCCAAAACTATAAGGGTAGTGCCATTCAGAGCAGGAAATCCATAGCTCAAATTAAAATAAGATGGCAATAAAGTGACACACAAATATCTAGTTGTAAACGCTGAAGGGACTTAATCAAGCAAAAGGGCACAGCTTTCCATTGCAGCATAATGTAAAGACATTTTTATTACTCTGGCAATTTGCAAAAAATGTCAAATGACTTTATGGGGCTTTTTCTAAATTACCTTTATTAATGTATGTAATATTATTGAAAAATTATACTACAGAGTAAATGTTCCACTGAGCTACAAGTTGCCTGCAGGAATGTGCTGTAAATATACAAGGGTGAATATGTTACTATCTTTACAACCCATTTCACACTTATTACAGCCTTCTAAAACCAAAATAGCACTGAACATTTGGAAAGGTATAGAAATTTTACAACATGGTATACAATATAGGTAAATTTGTAGAGCCTGGAAATGTATCAACTGTCTTTGAGTGTGATAACCTGTTTCAGAGTTGTCTCAAGGCTGCGTTCTCCTAGATCACTTGTACCTCTCTGATATGTTGACATTTGCTTTGAGAAACCCATTCTGGCTGATTTGAATAAATACAGTCTCGGGCAATTGACGAGACTTTTCCTATTTATTATGCTTGAATGCTTGGAAAGAGAAGAGCTAATGGCTGAAGCATGCCAGGGCAGATGCAGGTGGAAGCATTCTCCTCTTCCCTCTGCTTGCTCTGTGTGCATCTGTCTCGACAGAAAACACATCCAGTCATGGTTCAGGGCTTCCAAATGCAATCTCTGTTTGCATGAGTTGGCCTTGAGACCACCTTCTCACTCTCAATGTTCCAATAATCCAGTAACTATAATTTCAGATCCCTAAAATTCAGTATCAATGCTTTAAGCCATCTCTCTCCTGGCCTTCCACCCTCTCTTCAGGCATGACCCTGGGACCACTTCACTTCCACTCACTTTCATCTTGTTCCTACTTAAGCCCCCTACCACTCTTGTGGTTCAGAGCCAAACTGATGGGGGGGTCATCTTGTCATAATTTAGGAGACGAGTTTCCGTGTCCTGCTGCCTGCTTTTCACGATGAATTCTATGAATTGGTTGAAAGAGAAGGGGGAAGAGAGGAGGGAAAAAGCCAAAATAAGAAAGAAGAAGATACGAAATAAAAGAGAAAAATAAGATATAAAAAAAGGAGATAAATGAGGCAAACTAAAATTGACTGCGCTGCCTACCAGCTGTATTCTTCAAGAGCCCCTGCTTGGGAGAAGATAAAGAGGCAGCCCCTCCGCAGACTGAAACCACGGCAGTCCCAGAGACTCCACCGTCATCCAACAGATGCCAGCTTTTCCCCCTCTGTTACCACTGCAGCTAGCTTCGGGTTGGGAAGACTTCCAAATGCAAAATATGTCACGCTTCTACATAACTTTTCAGCTCTGTTTTTTAGTAATTCACACCCCTCTTCCTTGCTTATCTAACCCCCACCACCTTGGCTTTTAGATGTTTTAAAGAAGCTTTTCCTCATGTTCTTCTCTCGACAATATGATATAATATTAGGAGTTTTTTAGGTTAAATCACTGAGAAATAGCTGGTCAGAAATCATCAGCTGGGAAGGCAGAACAGGACATGGTCCTACCCAGGCCAGACTTAGGACTAGGTGGATGAGGTATAGTGATTTCTATAATGTTGCTTGAGGGACTACCTAGAGCCCGCTCACCAACACACACACACACACACACACACACACACACACACACACACACAGAGCTGTGCTGGTCATGCATGGACCTGACTTCTCCCCATCTTTTGAAAGTGTCTGTATTTTATAGCTGGTAGAATGCTGTCAACGTCTATAATGAATTTGCTTCTCATTTAATATATATTGTATCTGGTATTATTAACAAATATTTAAGTTGGTGTAAAAGCAGGTAAATTTGTAACATGTATACATGTACATATAAACACACTATATGCATGTAACGTGAAATCACTCATCTATTATATTTTTAGACAAAAATATGTTGTTTTCTATCATGATATTCCTTCTTCTTTTTGCATGATTTCAACAAATGTTCTGAACATATAAAACAGACCAAAACTAGAGTGAAATTACCATCTCCAAGACAGAAAAGAAAACCAAAACCCTCATGTGAAGTCCTTTGGCAGATCTCCAGTTCACTTATTTACCAACCTGCGTTAATGCCAGCCATGTGCCAGGCATCACGTTAATTGCTGGGGACTAGAGGACGATGCAGAGATGAATAAGACATGTGCTCTCACCTTCGCACCCAGCCGATGACCTGGCTTCTTATTTCTTTGAGAAAAGGAAGCAATCAAAAGAGAAATTCTATCCACTCCCACCTTCCCATCTACCAACCAGCTTGCTTTTATGGCCATATACTCTGCCTTTCCTCTAGGGACTAGGTTTTATCTAAAACCAGTTCCCTGCGTTTGCAGATTGGATCTTATCCCTCTCTCCTACTTAAGGACATCAGTCCAGCAGATATCCTCTCTATTAGTATCATCTGTTTTTCTCTGTTCTTACATCATTTATGACTTTCACATTTTCAAATCCAATGGTCGGTTCTCAGTCCTCAGACTGAGGATCTGATGGGACTAACAGATCTTATTGAATCTATTCTCAACTCCTAACAGAATTGTATTCTCCCCTGAAATATGGTCTTCAGCTGGTATCAGTGAATCCACTCTTTTGGTTCCCCTCTCACCTCCATAGTCGCTCCTTCTCATTGTCCTTTGCTGGGCTCTCCCCGTCAATGAAATCTCTAAACGCTGGTGTGCCACAGGGATCAGTCCTTGGATTCCTTCTTTTCTCCTCCTACACTCACTCCGCCCATTTCCATGAATATTCACCAAACTTACATCTCCAGCCCAACTCCTCCCTGAATTCCAGATTCATATATTCAATGTTCTCCTCGATACGACTTCCTGGAGTTCTAATAGCTATCTCAAATGTTATATGTCCCCAGTTGAACCTTTAATTACTCCCTATTCTAAACCTGATCCTCTGTGATCTTTCCCATCCTAGTTAATGCAATGCCAATCTTCTACTTCCACAGGCCAAAATATCTGGCACCATCTTTAACTTCTTTCTTTCTCTCACCTACTATCAATCCATCAGCAAATCCCATTAATTCTTCTTCAAAAGGGGTCTAGAATCTGACCGTGACAGACTTATTCTTCCACTGCCATCCTGGTCCAAGCCACCATCCTATCTCACCTGCCTTCTAACTGGACTTTCTACTTCCAACTGGCACCCTTCCCCAACTCGTGAGACTATTCTCCATAAGCAGCCACGTGATCTTTCAAAACGTAGGTCAGATCATGTCATTCCTCCGCTATAACCTTCCAACAGTTTCCCAACGCAGTTCAGTCCTTGTCCTTAAGGAGCTCACAGTCTAACAGAGAAGACAGAAATATAAAAATAGATCACCGAGGCAATATAAAAGTGCAATGATAGAGTGCTGGCTGTGGGAGTGAAAAGGAGACGCAATTACCCCAGAATCATGGTGAGAATTATGGAAAGCTTCCTGGAAGAGGGGATATCAGAGCCTCAAAATTAAGGAGTTTGTGAGGTAAGGTGTGTGTGGTGTGGTGAAAGTAAGGAACTGCAGGGCAAATGGCGGGAAGGTCACAGTGTCACAGCCCAGCAGGGGGTGCCAGTGAGCAGCCGTGGTGCTGGCCAGCTCCTCTCTCCAGCCGTCTGGAGAATGGTTGGGAGGGCGACAGGCAGGAAGCAGAGCAAGATCAGTTGGAGGACTCATCCCCAATTCAGGCAAGAGGCGATCAATTATCAGGCCCAGGGAAGGAAATGTGTTCCCAGGGACAGTCAACAGCCCAAATGTTAACAAAAAAAGGTGGTGCCTCTCTGGAGCTTTTATTCCTTCCGGTGCTCTGCCTCACGCCTGCTCTCTGGAAATGGATGTGCATTACCTTACAGGCTGTCAGAACCTTCCTAGGAAACCAGCATGCGGATGAATCTTGAAAATGCAATCTGGCCGCATCCAGAGCTTTGCATGCTGGTTCCTTGGGGCCACACACTGAGACACTTTGCAAGAAAATTTAACAGAAGACAGATGGCAAATGTCATGGGGCCTCACACAACTGAGAAGGCAAAGGAGTAAGCCAGAAAATAATGCACTGAGGACTAGAGTTCCTGGAGCAGGCAGAAAAGTAGTTACTTCCCTTCTGTCCCCTGACTATGAGAAGCAGGCGGGGTACTAATCTCCTGAAGGAGCAACTGTGGTCTCGGGGATGCGATGGATGGGTCTGATATTTATAAATTGACGGGTGAATTGTCCCATGTTTCTTCATTCTGAATATTCTTTGAGCTTATTACATCAGCTCAGAGTGAACGCTCTAAATTTAGACCCAAACTTTCTCATGTTTCCAAGGGAACTGTAAATTACTTTGTGAATGTACATACAACACAGCCAGCAAAGTCTGTTTGACGAAGCCCTCTCCTGCACTCAGAGTTAAAGGCATCTCATAAATTGTTGCCTTGCCCAAGGTCCTGGACAGTAGCTGACAGCCTCAGACAGATTGCCTTCGCTTCTCCATATGACACTTCTGTAGGAGGCGCTACTGTAAGTACAAAGGACACAGGCCTTCAGCTGTGACATCCTCTAACTCCCCAAAGCCCCGTGTTGTTTCTGTGAAGGGTTTCTTGGATGGAGAACAGAGTGAGAGATGCTACGTTGCTTAAGATGAGCCATCTAACGTGATGGTGCCCAGGCTACCCTCAAAGCATCAAATCCTACTCGATAGTGAAGACAGAAGAGGAAATGATCTAGGAGGGGATAGTGGAGCATGTGAAGTATTTTTTGATGAGGTCAGTGAATCATTTAGGGCTGAGTGCAGCTATAATCACAGAGACTGGAGGTACTGATGGCTTAAACAATGTATAGGAAGTCCAGAGACATCCAGTCCAGGATTAGTATTGTGGACACAGTGTCAGCAGGCCCCCAGGCTCCTTCTGTCTGCTCTTCACTCCTCTGATTATGTAGTTTCCTCCTCACATTCACTGCATGGTCCAAGATGGCTTCTGGAGCTCCAGCCATCATGCTCATGCTCCAATTAATAGGAAGAAGGAAGATGAAAGGGCAAAAGGGGTGCGATTATCAGCTGGTCAGTGCCTATATTTCACAGATGGTCAACTTTCTCAGGGTCCCACATTATAATCAACTTACATCTCATTGGCTCTACCTTGATTACCTGGCCACTCCTAACAGGAAAGACTGGGAAATGCAGTCTGAAAGCTGGATGCACTATGGCTCCAAATCACATTATGTGTTTGCCACCAAGAGAGAAGAGGGGAGCCAGTATTGGGTGAAGCTTAGCAGTCTCGGCTCCAGTTAGGTTAGAAGCATATAAGGAGCAGAGCCAATGCCCCTAGTCTACTAATACAATACCATGGAAACTAAAGCAATATATATATAAAAAAAAAACTCAGCAAGAGGAACAGCCTTGAAATAATGGGAAGACTGAAAGAAGGAAAGGAAAGGAAAGATGGAGGATAGAGGGAAGAGAAAATGAAAAGAGGAAGGTAAGAAAGGAGAGTAAGAAAGATAATGGGGAATAAGACAGGAAGGAAGTAAAGAGAAGGCTATAGAAAGAAAGGAAAGGAAAATGTAATGCAGGTGTTTCAGGGTGCCCATTTTCTATCCTTAGGGGTGACTTTTGCTGCCTGGGCAAGTTTTGGATTCCTCTTTCTGGAGCTGAGGGTTTTCTTCTGTGTCTCCCTTGGTGCCGGGCTCCCTGCTATTACTTCTAACACAGACGTTCCAGTCTTTTCTCATGCAGTGCCCAGAAAGCGGGACCAGCCAATCCCTGTATCCTTTGGCTACTTTTGCCCATCAGCTTTCACCTGTACTTTCACCAGGGGGAGCTGGCACCCCCTGCTGGGCTGTAACACTGCAACCTTCCTGCCATTTGCCCTGCAGTTCCTTAACTTTCACACCACACCACACACACCTTACCTCACAAACTCCTTAATTTTGAGGCTCTGATATCCCCTCTTCCAGGAAGATTTCCATAATTCTCACCATGATTCTGGGGTAATTGCTTCTCCTTTTCACTCCCACAGCCAGCACTCGATCATTGCACTTTTATGTTGCCTCGGTGATCTACTTTTATATTTCTGTCTTCTCTGTTAGACTGTGAGCTCCTTAAGGACAAGGACTGAACTGCGTTGGGAAACTGTTGGAGGGTTATAGCGGAGGAATGACATGAAAGTACACGGAGATGGGAGTGGGGAGTAGTGGGACAGTTTTCACAGTTCTTTACTAGAGGGTCAGCCTCTCAAGGGGCGATGTTGCCATTCACTTAGAGAACTCCTTGCAGACCTGCCTCTGGGACAGATTGTCCTCTGTGGATTGCCTCCTTTACCAGTGATGTGCAGGCCCTGCTTCAACACTCCCACTCAGCAACCCCATATCCCTGGCCCCCTCTCACAGGCAGAGGCTCACCCATGATGCCTTCTTATATCTTGCCAGTTGGGGAAACAAGGTCTCAAGCCTTGGAAGATGATACATTGGTGGTGTTAACCTCCATCAGTAGCCTGCAGATAGAGAGAGAGGGAGATTATGGTCCATAAACAAGAAAATGAATGTGGACAACCCCTTTACCCTGCCCCCACCCCTGTTAGAGCTGAAGACTGACTGATTCTCTTACTAGGTTACCCAGAAGTAATCACTGTTCACAAACGTCTGTTTTCGTTGGCTTTCTGGCCCTGCCCTTGAGGGACCAGAAGACCACTACCATGACCACTACTCTTCCTCTACGATTGTGCTGGAAAGCATGGGTGCTTCCTTCTCTGCCAGGGGGCTGGCCCCATTACAAGAAAAATGTCATTGTCAGTGGAAGCTTTCCTGGCCACCTAGGAGGAATGGTGCCCACCCAAGGAAGCTAGTTTTACTCTGCAGCTTCCTAGGATCTAAAGAACTGAGTGAATGCTAGTTCAATCCTCCATGGAAGGGAAAGAAGAGGAAAAAGGTGGGGATGTCGCCTATGGTATCATCTTAGTGAGAATTTAAGCTAAGCTTGTGTAGAACAGATTGTGTTCTTAAGTCTGTTTTATATTATCATCAACACCAAGGACAGTGCTGTCTCCACACGGCTGGCACTTGATAATGCTTGTTAGATTAACAGATGAGAACATGTCTATTGTTTCTCAGCACCACATAGTTGAGATGAAAACTTAAACATTTTTAATAACGAATTCGTATTTTAAAAA